CAATGCACATTTGGAGGTCAGAGACAGCCTTAAATATCAATCTATATCTTCCATCTTATTGGAGACAGGGTCTCTTGTTTGCTCCTGAATATACCAGCCTATGACCCTCTAGAGATTCTCTTATCTCTGTCTCTCAACCTGCAGTAAGAAAGTTTGACAGTAAACAGTCTGGCTTTATGCAGGTATTGGGGATCCAAATTAAGATTATCACACTATGTTGCAAGCACTTAACCCATTGAGCCACCTCCTTAAGCCACTTATTGTTTATTTCTCTTAGATTGAAAGAGTTGAAAAATCTCTTTATTTTTATTTCATTTTTATGAGAAATATTCTCTGACTTTTACCAGTTCATTTCTCCAAGAATTTGGATATAGTCTAGTTTATATAATATAGAGTTTTAGGGAAATCTTTCTGTTCTTTGAATTTTTATACATTAACACTGACGATATTTTTTATATTGAAAATTCATTATGTGAGGGCTGGGAGATGGCTCTGTAGTCTAAGTGCTTGTTGTGCATGGTCTCAGATCAGAATCCACATTTTTAGAAATTCTAGTAAATGCCAAGTAGATGTCGTGGTCCACTGTAATCCCAGCCCTGGAGAGTGGAGACTGAGGATTCCAGTGCAAAGGGCCTCACAAGAAACAGTGCAAACTCCCCATCTTACTGAGCTCAGGATTTGCCTGAGAGACCCTCCTTTGATGTGTGCCCACATACATGCAAAGCAAAAATCCTGCACTCACATATATCTACCATTATTACATAGGAAAAACAGAAAAAGAAAAATGATCACTATAATTTCTCTTCTCTATAACAGCCTGTCACTTCTTTGAAATCAGATGAAATATCCCAGCATGTTTCATCCCTAATTCATTGTGCAATTAAAAATCCAGTTTTTGCATTATGTTTGAAGGTAGGCAGTTTCTGCTGGCTGATCCTGTTAGTGCAATATCTCAGATGAACATCTTAAGATAACACTGTCACTGAGGTGCAGACAGAGCAAGCTGTATGGTTAAGCCAACATCAGGACACTAGATAGGTCATTTGCTCTCTGGAAATGTATTCTAAAACAATAAATTAGTGTAGATTAAAAAAGACTAATGATTTAAAAATTGGAGATCATGTTCAGTAGTTTGGAGAGAGATTACAAACATGTGAAATCAACAATAAGATATAACATAGTTGTTAAATTGGCATTTATGAAGTTCTCATAACATTTTTAAATATTTATGAGTAAAAAACTGTATTTTAGATGTAATTAAAACTGATAACTAATATATAAAATATGTAACAACTTAACACTCTTAATTTATAATATATGCAAGTAGAATACAAAGGTGCAAATGCACACAGAACACAGCTATGCAAAAGCACCAATAAACACTATGACTTCATAAAGCAGAAAATTCTGCCACGATATCAAAAAGATGTTTCTTTTCCTCTATATTTTAGAGTTAGAATAACTATTTTAATAGCCAGAAAGAACACTATGAAATATTTATTCTATGTGAGTTACTGAATGCCACCTGAATTATAAGGAGATTCATGTGTTTAGGAATAGCTTCAAGATGAACTCAATGTCTTGAACATGATGATAGGGTTCTTAATATAACATACCACTGAGTTATATCTATATTCACAGGGTCAATTTGTATTACAAGTATGTGCTTATTTATGTGGGACAATATAAGTGCGATTGTGTACATCAGTAAGTCAGAAAAAAAAATGTGTGAAACGGTTCTCTTCTTCTACCTTCTGGATCCCAGGTTTTGAGCTCAGGTTGTAGACTTTGGCAGCAGGCACCTTTACACACTGAGCCATCTCAGGAGCCCACAGGTTTAATTCCTAATTTACTCCAAAAGAGGAATATCTAAATAAACTCTAACCCAGTTTCTTTAGGATTTTTTTTTTTTTTACTGATACTCATATATCTTACATTAAAGCTGGTGAAATGTGACTTGACTAAATATATGTTGGAAACAAACTTCTGCTTTGAAGGTCTGAAGCTTTATGCAACGTATATGAAACATACATATGCATACATATTTAAGTGACTGGATGTTGACTCTCAAAAAGTAGAAAACTGGAAATAAATGCCTTTCAGAAGACTTTATAATTATTCTAAAAATACATGTTAGTGTCTGAAATGGAAATTTCTGTATATATCATGTGATGCAGTCTCATGTGGTGTTTTGCATGCATGATGTTTAAAGAGAGTATAAACAGAGCTCAAAGAATGTGAGGAAAGGGATGGGGAACAGTGATCAAGGAAGATATCTGAGATTTATTTCTGGCATCAACAGTCATATGAACACACATACATAGGTCTATCCTTACCCAAGTTCAGGTATAGGGCTAGTCTGCCCTTCTGGAGCTCTAGGGTGATGTGGTCTCCACGTTGTCCCTCCCCATGGAACAGAACCCCATCTCCTTGCATGCTCTTGAATTTCAGGGAGATCACATCTTTGAGGGTACTCATTGTCTTCTGATTGAACCTGTACAAAAGTGAGCTCTGGCCATCAAAATCAGCAACATCCGATTCTGAGAGGAGAGAGAGGAGAAAGAAACATCAATGTGCTTCCTCATGGCATCTATCCTTGCTTCTTATCTTTGATGCTGCTCAATTCAGAGGAATGTTCCTTAAATTTGGATGATCTCTCTTTTACGTAGGTAAATAAAGTAAAACCAACCTTAGATTTAGAATCTAAGGAATCATTCTTTTGTAGGCAGCACAGACACACCAGGCTAAAGTAGAAACTCCCATTAGTGACTATTGAACAAAACAAGAGAAAAACAGTAGCAGGTACTAGAAAAGAGTTGTTACATAACTCTATCCAGTGAGGTGTATTAAGGGAGCCTTAAGGCCATGATTGGGACTTCAGATAGGGGGGTAGAGAATTAGACAAATAAAATGCAAAACATGGAGATCTGTATATGATGGGGCTTTAGAGCTAAGGAGAGGCTTCCTTTAAAGTGTGAAGAGGAAGTTTTCAACTGCTTCAGTAAGAGGTAGATAGGGAGCATGAGAGAAATATATAGCTGCCATGCAAGGGATGCTGACACAGGCTAGGAGTCTCCTTAGAGAACAGCATTTAGAGTTATTTTGAAGAATGCCTTCGAGGAGTCTTGGAACAAATGAAATATTTGATACTTTATACTTTTTCAGGGTTGGAAGACAGACTGCATTTTAATCTCTCTGCCATGGCAAGAGATGCAAGAAACTGGGGCCTGATTTAGGCTATGTGATCTGGCATAAAGGTTCAGGCTCATGTTCTAACAGTAATATGACATTCTGGGCTTAATGAGACAGGATGGCAGTGCACAGGCTGCACTAGGCTTTTCTGGGACCAGTGCCTGCTTTATAATAACCTCTCACAACTTATGTTTCTTGCTAATTTGATTCTGACATTTAGAACCATTTGATCTCTTCACCCTAGGCTTCCGGCTAGAACTGTAAAAGAGATATCCTTTATTATGACAATTCTGGATTATTAATTCAGTCTTTTCTAGAACTCTGTGCTGAGAATTCTGAAGATTCTTTGGGGTTTAGTGGGAAAGAATATTCAATGTACAGAGACTGAAAATTTGAGCAGAGGGATAATGTGCTATATATGCCGTGTTCTGGTAATGTACTGTTTTATGGGTTTATGCAAAATGCTCAGTCACTATCGTTTTGTTTTGTAATTTATTCTGATCTGAGATAGTCCTTTATTTTAGACATAAAACTTAGCAAATGTATGTGGTGACATGATAGCTCTTACTATGTACACATATTATCTAATGTCAACTCTTAGAATAAGTATATCTAGTTACTGACACATACTAATTTGTTGATAAGTATGGCCTGTTTTCTCTGCACATAACATACTCACCCATTATGATGTTACAGTAGAGATTAGCTCAGCTTCATAGTCTTAGCACAGTACTGACCAATGTCAATATAAAGGTAACAAGATTTTTGATAATATTATTGAAGCTAATGACTCTGGCTAGTAACAGGAGATAGGGTGATGGTCACAGGACCCTCACCTGGAAGTCAAGTCATTATTCTCTTTTTCCTTCTTCAGTTGAGAGTGACCTTATGAGTATGTTGAGAGTGGAGGTTATGGAAGAGAGATTCTGTGAAGCTTCCACAAGGTTGTCATTCACAATAGGTGGGAATGTGCAGTGGAACATCAGTTGTGCTATCATTGATGCTCCTCTAGTTAATCCCATATCAATGCTTTCTGCATAAGCACAGTAAGTTTATTTGTTTGTCAAATTGGGCTTTGTTGGTATCTTTACTTTGATATGTCTTCTATTCACTATCTGGGGTAAATAAACATTTGTTCATATCTTCCCATGGAAAGAGAGATGAGAATAGCAAATTATAATTATAATTCTTTATAATATCATATAAATATGATTTTCATAATATTTTAATATAATATATAAATTATCATACTATATAGAATAGCAGGATTTCATTTAATCCAACTTTGACTTAGTTGTATCATTTTGTCATTACCCCTTTCTCACTATTCCAGCCTTTAAATTCTTATTCTTTACTCTCAACTTTTTTGAGATCAGCTTGGGAAATTACATGCATGATATCACATAGTATTTGGAATGATATGCCAGATGAATTTCAGTTAGCATATTGTCCTCCAGTTCTGCAAGTATGGAACCAGATAGTGAAAGTCAAGAAGTCATTCTCCAAACAAATTTATGAAGTATATGTGTATACATAAACTGACATGTGTCTCTCAAAATATCCAGTAGATAAATTATTTCACAGTGAGGGAGAAAGAGAGAGAGAGAGAGAGAGAGAGAGAGAGAGAGAGAGACAGAGAGAGACAGAGAGAGACAGAGAGACAGAGAGACAGAGAGACAGAGAGAGAGACAGAGACAGAGACAGAGAGAGAGAGAGATTCATGTACATATGCAGGTATGCCCTTGCACTTACAAACAAATGCATGTGGAGGTTATAGGTTGACATTGAATATCTTCCTAACTCATATTCTAAGCTCATATAGCCTAGGTCATTCTTGAATTTACAACATTGCCATTATGATTTTGAACTTCTCATGTTCCTGCCTCTATTTACTGATGGATATGATTATAAGAGTATATCATGTGCCTGGTTTTGCACAGTGCTAGAAACAATTCAAGGCTTTCAGGAAGGTACACAGTCTACCAGATGACCTGCATCTCCAACTCTGAATTTTCAATGAACATGGTTCTCAGCAACAAGGCAGAATGGATGGCAAGTGAGCTCCAGGGACCTCATGCTTCTAACTCAAGGCTGAGATTACAAAAGTGTGCGACTAAATCAAGCTTTTTACATATGTGCTGAATTCACATCATCATGCTTGTATGACAAGCATTTTACCATTTAGTAATATCCACAGCCTCGTGGAAGAATTATTGTAAGTTACTTGCATATTCTTTTACTATTTTATTACAAAAATTGTACTACAAAATTAGTATTACTTCTATAATAATATAATACAAAAATATAAGACTCTTTAATTACAACTTGGAAGAGATTCGTCACATAGAATCATGGCAGGGTGAAACAGAGGTGAAGGGCTGTGTGAACCAGACACAATTAATCTTATTTGAAATTCAGAAAACACAAAAATTCAATTTTTCCAGATCTACTAAGCAATTAAAATGCTTAAATTGAGTATTCATAATGACAATTTGATTTTTTTTTTTTGCTCAGGGATATAGAATTATCTTCAATAAATGAAATTTTGGAATAAAAGGAAATATGATTTTCTGTAATTACCTTGAAAGTAAAATTCTATAATTTATTTCTTATATTTACATTTAACAAAAAGGTCCCTAAGGACTCCAGATTATAAAAAGCAACTAGTGTGATGTAGGGAGGTTTTCAGAATCTCCTGTGTTTTTCCAATACTTCCCACTTGATGTTAGTATTATATCTATTCATATAGAGCTCACTGAACTTGAAGATGAACCCATGGAATTCTTGGCACTGTTGCCTTTTCTTAGGTAATGAGCAGCATGGCTAGACAGAACATTAAGATATAGCTTGCCAGCTAGATCACTTTTGCAACCTTATCTCCTTAAGACTTAAATTCATAATAAGACATAAGCATTAGAAACATGTGCTTTAGAGGAAAAAAATACTCAGTGCTGAAAATATGATGCAGTGAGTAAAATGTTTGCTGTGCATCAGTGAGGGAAGGCAGCAGTCAGACTCTAGCATTCCATTAAAATAACCAGAAGTACCTGAAATTCCAGAACTATGTCAATAGAGACAGGAAGATGCTGGAAACTTGCTCTCCAGCAAGTCTAGTTGGAAAAGCAAGCATCAGGTTCAAAAATTGAGTATTCATGTGGCTGGAGAGAAAGCCCACTCACATGGGTGGCTCACAGCAGAGTGATTCCCAATTCAGAATATGCAATGCCTTCTGGACACTGCAAGCACCTACACTCTCACTGGTACACAATCCCAAACTCAAAATATATACTCATGGTTAAAAGCAAAATAAAACAAATATTAAACAAATAAAGTGGTCAGAAACTGATGAAGACACCTGATATCTACCTTGGTACATATGCAAACTCATGCGGGCATGTGTGCATGCGCACACACACATGAATAAAATGTTGAAAGATTCCAGAGATGTTGAAAGAGAAGACATGGGGTGAAGCAGTTGTGATTATATTGTATCATATACACATATGAAATCAACAGAGAATGAATAAGCAAGGAAACAAATAAATAGATAATCCAATAATTAATTGTGCTAACACTAGTCACTTCATAATAAAATAAAATATATACCACCTTACCAGACACACTATTTGTTAAATCTATATGAAATAGATTACTAATTGTGAGTGGATTAATTGCGGTCATTAACTGATGCTCTGTCAGTTACCTTCATCCAAATGGTGCTGTTTTACTCTGGTATCAGGCTTTCCTGCCCAGTGTGTGCCAAGCTAAGTCCAAACTTTCTACTGAGTCTTGTTTGGCTTTAGTTGTTGCTGTGAAAATATTTCCCCTGTGCAGCTAAGCTATGCATTCTGTGCATTCTTGCACTCTTTTGATTGGGGTCACTCTGCAAATGTAGCATCCATTGAGGCTTTACTGCCCAGCAATCAGAACAACCACATAGCACCCAACAGTGTTCTAGTAAGGTGAATATATACATAGAGAGACTAAGCTATTTCAGAAAGGAAAGGACGGACCAGGTGCACCAAGGAAGCATCAATATGCTGGTCCTGAATGATATACTTATAAGAGATGTATCTTTGTCACAGAGTTGGTGGGGAGGGTAAAATGTAAATGAACACATGAAGTTCTGTGATCAGATCATGTAACGGGCAGCAAGAACAATGTTTTCCAGCATGTTTACTTTCCACAGGCTGAGAAACACAGTGCAATGGGTGACACCTAAGCAGTAACTGAAACCTACATTTATTACAGGATCATGAATGTCACCTCCATGGGAAAATGAAATGTTTAACCTCTATATTCCCACAGCATGGATAACAACATTCGATTAGAGTATCATTGCCCAATA